ATGTAAAACTTCAAAATGGAAAAATTGATACGGTTTCAATAAAAGATCTTGCCCCACTAAAAGATGGAAATCCCTTAATAGATCCAGTCCAACAACAGTCTGAATGCTCGAACAATGACAAAATTGTCATTAGTAACAACAGCCCTAATCCTGGAAATAGAAAACAAGTCGAATTAAATGATACCAACAAAGTAGTTTCGAACCTACTGCATCCGTTTGGGAATCCAATAAAGGATAGCTTCTTTTATGATCAATCAACTACAACAGTACCTAACCAACCATACATTCAAAATGTTACTACTCCTGACACACAACCTAATATATCCTCAAGAACAGGACGTACAATTAAAAAGGCCAAAGTGTCTCAAAACGGAGAAGACTGTTATATTCTTAAGAACTATGTATTTGAACTAGATAATTGACGTCAATCACGTCATCATAAAAATACGGTTAAATGAACTTAAGTTATTATTATATTTAATTGATGTGTTATAAAATCTGTTTTGTAGATCTTGAATTGTGTTGTGTTTGATTTAATATTTGATAAAAGCCGAAAATATTTAATAAAGACTTGTTTATTACGGTTTCACAACAGTATTTAAACTGCTTTGATAAAACATTTTCATCTTTCATTTGTCTAATAGCATTATTTAATGTTATAAAGCAACCTATTGAATCTACTTACCCTGATATTGGTTTTTCAAAATTATCATAGTTTTTCTAATATTCTTAAAAAGCCTCGCATTCAAAAATTAAATTATCCAAAAATTATTTTGTGCGGCAATTTAGATAAACAAAAAACCAAAGTGTTTTATGTTTTAAGCCAAATCATTTTGTGGCTCTGGTTAATGATCTACCTAAAAAACATCCAGCTGTTGTTATGAATGATCTAAGTTTACTTAGTATCAAAAAAATAAAAGTTTACAAAATAACAAAATACAGAAACCAATTCAGTCTAAATTATTTTTTCCTACTGTTTCTAAGAACACTTCAAATATAGATAAGTTTAGTATTTGTAATAAAACGGTTAAAACTGAGGTAGTTATCTCAAAAAACGCCAACAACAATGATAAAAACACTCTTGAATCTAATGTCCCACAAAAAGAAAGCAATATTGTTGACATAAGTTTTTTAAATACAAATCAACTAGCATCTTATTCAAACTATGATGTTTCATCATACCATCTACAAGGGGAAAAATTAAAACCAGGAACAAATAATCATGAACTGTTATCTCTAATTAATAATGTCTGGGTCGCAGATAAATGCTTCCAATTCCCTTTAACAGGTAAAAGCATAAAAAGACATTTTTTGCTAAAATGGTTAGATGATTTTTCTTGGCTTTGTTACTCTAAAATTGAATATGGTGCATATTGTCTTCTATGTATACTTTTTGGTACAAATTTACCAAACAAATATGCATTATGTAGATTTTTTAAAGAACCATTTAATACCTGGCGTAATGCTGTGAAAGTTTTCAACGATCATGAGAAAACTGTTGACGTCTTACACATCAAGTCCATGCATTGTTATAATATGCTTTTATTTAGAGCTAAAAATAACACTTTTTCTATTGAAGTTTTTCTTGATATTTCTAGGTAATAGCGTATAGAAGAAAACAAAAAAAAAATCTTGAATCAATTGTTAAGACTGTAATATTTTTAGGTTGAAATGATATGCTTCTACGAGGTCATAGAAACGATAGAAATTATCAAGGAGAAATTGGAGAATCTTTAAAAACTACAGAGCTGGGTAATTTCATTGAGCTTTTAAACTTTAGGGTTGATGCAGGTGATTTAATTCTAAAGGAGCATCCTCTCTCTGCCCCCGAAAATTCTACATATATTTCAAAGACCATTCAAAACGAGTTAATTGAGTATTATCGAAATGCAATTGAAGAGGTTTTTGATATTAAAAAAGTAAGTACTTCTCCATTAATGCAGACGAGGCTTCAGACTAAGCAACGATATAACAACTTTCTATTCTCATACGTTATGTTGACTTGATCAGCAATATTAAGGAAGTTTTTTTATGCTTTTTTGAAAGTAAAACAGGTACAAGTGGCTTAAGCATAGCTGCCAACATTCTTGAATTTGGTTTAGATATAAAAATATGCAGAGGCCAGTTTTATGATGGAGCTGCTTCAATGTCAGGAGAATACAAAGGTGTTTTTTTTGTTATAAAAAATGTTAATCTTAAGGCATTATTTTTCTTCTGTGCCTCACATAAATTTAGTTTAGTTGTTGGAAAAAGTTATGAAATCCATCTAGTAAAAAATTTGCTTGAGCAAGTTAAAGACACTTATTTTTTTAACTTTTCTCCTAAAAGAAGTAATTTATTAAAAAAGTACCTTCTTCCTTTTCAAGCAAAACTTATTGATATATGTCAAACTCGGTGGGTACAAAAGCTTTGTGGCAGTTCAAAATGCTTTCAGAAAATGTTCTTGTTTGGAAAGACCTTTTTCTGAAATATGATAATGTTAAAAATTTTTTTGACATGTGATACTCCAGCGCACACTGTTTGCTAAGATTAATTATAAAGATCATGAAGTATTCAAAAGTCTTTTGATGGATTTACTTTGCATTTCTAAATTTGTTTTGGACTATATGTACTTAGTTTATTTTGGGGTCGTTTGCCAATTATTGGTATTTTGAAAAAGTGATCAAAGATATGTCATTTGTCATAAGTTCAAATTAATCTTTTTGCTGAAAAGTCAAATGACAGCTTAGATTATTGGTAAAGTTTAAAAGAGAAAAGGCCACATAGTTTATTTCTTTTGCATACTGATATTTAAGTACAAAAGACACTAATCGAATTAACAGTATCAATGCAATGGTTATGATACTGTTGAATTGGTTTGGATGGCTGGATTATTGAGGCTATGAATTATTATGGTCAAACATTCACAACATACAATGTACATAACTTAATTTGTTTGTAATAACATTTTGAACAAATGCTTCTCGATACGTCTGCCTTTTCATTTAAAAATTGCTAAGTGTGAAATATTTGGTTTTTGGTGAGAAGATGCCACTTGCTCAAGTTGTCAAGCGTTCAAGAGAAATAAGTAGTTTAGATCGGAAGAAAATTACACCCAACGAAGTAATCACTAGGGGTGTTCAAAAAATTTAAATTTTAAAACGCGAATACACAAGAAGCCAAATTTGGGGTAATATATAAAAAAATGCGATAACAAATAAAAAACTAGAATATTGACGTTCACCTTGTGCTCAAACGGCAAAATACCCCGAAAAATGCCCAAATTATTCCTAAATTATTTGGCTTTGAGCGCCAGGTAAATTTTTTATTTAGATTGTTGCGTATCTTGGTTTTTTCATAAGTGTTGTTTAAAATAAAAAAAATAAAAATTATTTTTTTTGCATATTTGTGCAAAATTTATTTTTTGCGTATTTGCGCTGAAATATTTTCTTGTGAAATTATTTTTCAATATAAACAATAATTATGAAAAGACTAAGATACGCAACAATCTAAAAAAAAAAATCTTATAACCATTATGATTACATAAGAAAATTTTTTTTTACAAGTTATTGAGATCGACCTTGCGCTCATAGCCAAATAATTTAGGAACAATTTGGGGCATTTTTCAGCGTATTTTGCCGCTTGAGCACAAGGTAAATGTCAATAATTACTGGTGTTAAGGAGCGCTATTTATCAAAATGATTTTTGATTTTTCACTTTATAAAAGTATTCCATTTTGACTTCTTTATTATACCATCCAATTCAAGTTATATTATAATATTGTCTTAGCCAAAATAACCCCTGTAAAAAGGAAAACTTTACTAAAATCTGAACTCAAAAACAACGATATTTGTTTTAAGGGTAAAAAAAAAACTTTTTTTTTCCATTATGTCATGATTGTGTGTGTTGAAATAAATTTTTTTTATTTATTCAATAAACTTTTTTTTTTTTTTTTTTTTGGGGGGGGGGCTCTCATTAGTTTTGCAGTTTATTGAGAAATTATTTTTTCTATTTTAGATGATGTTGCTAAACGATTTGCAGTCAATAATCTTTCGATAGTCGGAAAACTCATGTGAGCATCAATTAGCAACTTAGTCTAATTTTTGGTACTTGTGGGATTTCCTCTTTTTCATTCCGAATGTTTTTTTATTATCTTCTTGAAAAAGCTTTTAATTGAATTTGATTGTAACTTTATGTTTATTCATATAATTCCATTTTTTATTCTCAAAAAAAGAGTACGCGAAATATTTGAGATATGGTTGATATTTGGAAAAAAAGTACAAATCAAACTAGTTTCACCCTAAAATATTGTATATAATTTCAAAACTTTGAAATAAAAGTATTGCAAAGTTTGTATTTTTTATTATTTTCATTTCCGTATTCAATTAATTGGTTGCACTAAAATAATTCCATCATGGAATAAAGTCATACATTTCATGTATGACTTTATTCCATATAATAAAGTCATACATGGCATGTATGACTTTAATAAATAAAAGTAAAAAGGAACAATAGAACACGAAGTTATACAATGTAACATTGTGCTTTATTGTTATTTGCAGTTTAGAAATAACATCATGAAAATGTAAAAAATGTTTGAGAACGTTTTTCTTTTAAAGTTTGGCCAATGTCATCAAAATAACGTTGTCCTTTTATTCCAACGTCTATACAACGATCGTTGTATAGACGTTAAATAATCCAAAATCTATGCAACGATAGAAAATACAATCAACGTCATTTCAATCACAATATAATGTTTGCCTAACGTCTTTTTTACGTCTTTTTTCCTATATATATGTATATATATATATATATATATATATATATATATATATATATATATATATATATATATATACATACATACATACATATATATATATATATATAAATATATATATATATATATATATATATATATATATATATATATATATATATATATATATATATATATATATATATATATATATATATATATATATATATATATATATACAACAATGATAATGATAATTTACCTGAGAGTATTTGTCGAAAGTTAACGCACTCAAACATAACCAATATTGCTAAGCCTTGCTTCATTTTTGATTAGAAATTTGAAATGAAATATATATCTACTTAAAAAAAATATATATTAATCTCGTATCTTTAAAATATCGGAAAATAATTTAAACTTATTCATAAATAATTTAAATAAGTTAAATAACTATTAAATCATATATATTTAAAAAAAAAGGCAAGAAAAAAGAAAAAAGAAAAAAGAATGAAAAAAAAAAAAAAAAAAAGACATCTTAAAATCATAAAATCATTCATTGCATATTTAAATTTATTTATAGTTGATTACCTTAAATATTTCAAAATATTTTTTTATTGCAAAAATTTTCAATGCAAAATGGGATAATTTGCTATCAAATAACGCCACAACAATCAATCATATATTTTTGATAAAGGTCAAACAACCAAGGGTATTCAAAAATAGTTTAAAACTAACTTAAAGTAAAAACCTGATTGAAATAATATCAAATAATAAAATTATTAATAATAATAACAATAACAATAATAATGATATTAATAGAAAATTACGAATACCGATAATAAAAATAAAAAACAAAAAAATGACTTTTAAAAACTACGCATATCTAATTTGTATGTATAAATTGTTTAGGAACTTTTTTTTTATTCTCTGCAAAAAGATATATTTTACATTTTTTTACTAAATTTAAACTATGTTTATATTTATGTTATAAGAATGTTTTATCTGTATTGTACATCAGCTTGCAGCCGCTTCGTGGTTATAATAATCAAGTTTATAGTGTAGTTTTTATAGAAATGCTAGTCGTGATGCGTTCATAAAGTTCCATTACAAATTTTGTCGAGTTTTTACAAATTTTCCTACTAAATGAACAAAAAAATTATTGATGGGGGAGGGGTGTCACACCCCATCGCGTTGGCCTTGAGGGTATGGCCTTGGGGTGTGGCTTCGGGGCTGTTGCCTCGTTGTACATAAAAATATCAAACTTTCAAATTCAAAACCAATTAGGCACACTGTTTATCAAAACTTTTAAACAATTTGTGGAATTAACTGTCTAAGCTTGTTGTAAAAGGTGGGAACCAGCACGATGGTTAGCCTTAATTATACCCTTAAACCATATTTGCAACATGCAGCAGTAATTTGTTCACACTTTAATAAAAATTATACTTCCATCCGCAATTTGGGGACGCCCAATCGTCCGTAAGACGCCTGACGGACGTCTTTCACACAATTCATGCCTACTGGGATAAGACAAGATCACCCCACGAACCAACCCCACGAGCACTTCACGAGCACCCTACGAGCCCACCCCACGAGCTTATTTCTTCATCCATAATTATTGAATTTAATATCTGTATAAAATGTACTTATGTGTTCCTTAACAAAACAGGTGATTTGAATAACGATCGATAAACATCTTGAGGTTCAATGAGTGACAAATTTACGAGTTATCAAAGTTTTTAAAAATTCAAATTTTTTACAAAATATAAGTATATTTTTAATAATACTTCTTTTGAAAGTATGAGAATATTGCATAACGATAGGCGCAAATAATTTGTGGCATGTCGTCGTCGTTCGAGTCCAGTTATAGGCATAGTTTTTTAATTACAAAAAACAAACAAACAAACAAACAAAAAAAAAACAAGAGTTTCCAGGTCGGTTGTAGGCATACTTTTTTAAGGTGGTACACCACCAAATATTTTAAAATATTCAAACTTAAAAAAAAAAAAAGATATATATATATATGTATATATATATATATATATATATTATATATATATATATATATATATATATATATATATATATATATATAAATATATATATATATATATATATATATATATATATATATATTATATATATATATATATATATATATATATATATATATATATATATATATATATATATATATATATATATATATATATATATATATATATATATATATATATATATATATATATATATATATATATATATATATATATATATATATATATATATATATATATATATATATATATATAGGCCTCCATGCCAGCCCGATGAGGTCTCGCATGGAGGGAGGGTAGGATAGGGTAATTACATATGTATTTTTTGCCAACTAAAAAGAATTTGATTGTATGACAGCTACTCTCAAGATATCAGATGCACTTTCTATTAGCTCAAAGAAGCAAAAAGATGACGGTAACATCCAATCGCCTGTTACTGGTAAAAGTGCTGACAGTGGCAGTACAAACATAATAGCCAATTTTGAAGACAGTCGATTTGGTAATAGTGATAATACTCCTCCAAGGATTACTAACATTGGTGGACCAGCTTTGATGCAGCCATTTAACATTGGTGACCAGGGCCGACGACACTGGTTTTGAAGTGGGGGGGGGGGGGACACAATCATCAAACTGTGAAAAAAGTCCTCTATATCTTAAAAAAAATTTCTTTAAAAAATCTTTTCTTAAAAAAAAAAAAAAAAAAAAGTGTTTTTAAAAAAAGTGTGTGTGAAGGAGGGAGGGGGGGGGGAGGAGGACGTGCCTTCCTGGCCCCCCCGGTGTCGTCGGCCCTGGTGACAACGAAACTGAAAATTTTTTCTCCACTCAGCTGAAAAGGTTTGCCAGGGTTAGTCACATTCCCTTTTTGCGGGATATGCCAAAAAATAATGGAAATAACATATTCCCAATGTCTATTTTAAAAAGCAGAATGCCTAATAAAGAACACTTATCGCGATATTGACTTGTATTTAACATAGCAAAGACAGCAGTTTTTAGTTTTTCATGTCAATTATTTTCACCAGGAAACCAAGTTCCATATCTAATTTTATCTCTTGCAATGATTGGAAGATGAGAATACGGAAAGAATTGGAAGAATCTAATGAGTTGTATTCCTGAGCATGAACAACCAAAAGCCCATAAACAATGATACATTCAATGACGTGAATTGAAAGTTTGAATAAAAACTGATCAATCAATGTAAGGTTTTGTGAATTACTAAATCCTGAATAAAGCAGCCACCTGGTGAAACATTCTGGAACAAGTCTTCGGTGTGATTCTGTTTCTTGGTGAGCATGGATTGGCTTTTCGCGGAAAATATGACCTAATAGGAAATTCTAATAAAAGAAACTTTTTAGGATTGCTAGAACTAATTTCGTATTATGACCAAATTTACAAGGAAAACGCGATAAAAGTTAATTATAAGACAAGGGTCAACGGTTTAAGACGTATTACCTGTGAAAATCGTTCTCAAAATGAATTCATTGGCCTTCATGCAGCTAAGGTTCGCAGGCAAATTTTCCAATTATGACTGATGCCATTTTTAATGTGAGTTATACCAAAGAAAATATGTTTGCTATTTGATATGTACACGAAGAAAAATCTGGAATATTTTTTACTGAAGAGCAGCTTTTAAATTTTGCAGATTGTGCCAAGAAGAATGGATATGATTTTACAGGATTAATTCTAGAAACTTTAGAAAGTTTAAAAGTTTGTTTTGAAGACTTCCTTGACCAAAGCTATGAAAATGGAGCTAAAATGTCAGGATAATAAAGGGTAAAATTTCAAGCAATCCTACAAAAGAAGAATCAATTTTTTCAATTTTTCACCCTGTGGTTGTCACTCATTAAATTTGTGTACTGAGACTTACTTTGGAACTGTTCAAACCGTGTATGCAATCTTTTCTGCTAGGTAATATTTCAAAAGAAACGCTGCAAAATATTGCGAAAAAGAGTCGATGGTGTGTCTTTGCATAGGCAACCTGGAAAACAATAGACTGAGAGTATTGTCAGTATTTTCCCTTTCTCTAAATAAGTCAAATGGGAATGACTTGATTAGAGAAACCAAATCATTGAATCTTTGGAAAAAGTTCAGAGCTTGAGCTCTTACCTAAATTAAAAATTTAGATTAGAGGTGCCCTCAAATATATAAGTTTCTTTAAATAAGTTCTCATGTATGGAATTAGGATGAGATTTTTCAGATTGATTGATTGCTGCAACCAAGTCTTTCAGGCAAGAAAGGCAACTATAAGTATTGAAGTGAAAAGCATTAAAACATTGATCAGTCAATTTAAATATGCTGGGGGAGAAATTACCATTATTACAAGAATTTAGCTGCAAATTCTACAATAAACATTTCTGAATGTCCAATCCATTAAAAAGTAAAGCGCAAAGGTTTTGATGGTAGAGTAAATTGAAGATTACACGTAATCAACAAAAAAAGAATAAGGTGAGGAGACAACATTTCAGAGATTGTTTGTTTATTATATTTTTGATTCTGTGATTGGTTGGCACACTGCTCGTTTACAGCAATTAAAGAAGTCTTAATTATATTATTTTTTTTGTGTAAATATCAAAAAGTGTTTAAAGCAGATATCAAGAGTACCAGCTCCCATTTTTCTCAGAAATATTTATGTGAAGTGACTGAAAATGAACTAACTGATGAATTACATGAAACAAATTCATACTTTAAACTTTGAAAAGAAACCTCTTGCCCCATTCGACTTATTAAACAATATTTCATTAATAAAATAGGAAAAATTCTTCAAAAATGTAATGATGGCAATATTAGCATGAAATTTTGACTTCCATGATGTGAAATAAAAAGACAAGAAAAATAAGGTTTTAAGAAATAAACTGGTTTACTTAATTATACTTATATATCAGTAATATAGTCAAAAAAATTGAGCAGACTTTTTTTTTTTCTAAAAAGGGAGTGGGGTAGGCCCCAAAATTAAAGGATGCTTGGGGTCTCTAAATCCTGTACACGGCCCTGAGATACATTCACAACAAGTTTTAACACGTAACCAACTAAAAAATTGAAGTCTGCGATGATTATACTGGTTAAATGATAAATTAATTTTTTTTACTTTTAGTGTTGTACTTATTCAGGTAGCCTAAAATAAGAAAAAATATATATTTTCAATAATTGTTCTTAAAGAAAATCATAATAGTATGCAAATTGCTATAAGTCCTAACATATAATTGTTAAAATAAAGAAAAATTGAAAATCACACACAGAAATGAAAATACCAAAAATAAAAGTGCTTTACATACAATTGCTCAGGTAAATAATTCCGTAACGCTGTAAT